GCCATTTCAGAAGGCGCAACGCGTGACCACGCTGCAAGACAGCGCGAGCATCGTCTACATTGGCGACGGCGTCAACGACCTCCTCGCACTGCTCGCAGCCGACGTCGGCATCGTCTTTGGCAGCCCGAATGCGTCGGCGTCCCGTGTCGCGCGGCATTTTGGCGTGCGCCTTGTCGATCTCGCAGACGAAAAAGCTTTGTCTGTCGCGGCGTTGGCGGCCCATGCGGCGACAGCCAAGGCAGAAAACGCACCCTTGCTCTTCCGCGCACCGTCGTGGCACATTCTTGGCCTGTTTCTGCGCTAATCCAGAGGACCGTTTTCAGTGGATTGTCGCCATAGAGTGGCAAGGTCGCCTACACGTACCTACGCAGTGCGACTGTGAAAGCCAAATCCATTTTCATGGCTGCAGCATTTCATCGATGGCATCGGATGTTGGCTCGAAAGGCAATCTGAGATCGACGTTTGATTGGTCAAATAATTCTTACCGACGTCTGATTGGCCGAAATGGATCTAAAACCGGTGCGCCCGTGATGGTCAAAGTCGTGGCCGTCCCGCGCGGACCGTCGCGGGGGGGCATGGCACGACGGCCCGCTCACCGTACGTCGCGATTCCTCGAGCGTCGCGATACATGACCATCAACCTCCTCGCCATGATGAAACCCCACTTGCGAATGAGTTCTTATTGAAGGTGCTATATTTGGACGCCACTTGTCCATGGTGTCGGCCAAGGTTGGCGCCTTTTCAGCACCCGAGGCACCGACTCCGTATGTCGTGCGCCGCGACAGACCCAGCCACGTTGTGCGCTTCATTCTTATTCTCAACCTCCTCTCCATGGTCTTCTCGCTCACCTCCCTTGACGGCGACTGATAGCGACGATATGAGTCTAGTCTCTCAAGGCGTACATCTCGGAGGCTTTTCCGTGGTCCCCGCCGTCCTCCCCCGCGGCCGTCTTTGCCAACTACTCGGATTTTAACACGTCAACGCTCACCGAGAGCCAAAGTCGGTACAACCGAAGGACGCTGCCGGCCCACAACACGTACACCTTTGATGTCACTCAAAACAGCCACGTGTTCCGCCACGTCATCTCTCGAACCCGCCTGGTCCCAGAGCCCGACTGCATGGGCGAGGTCATGACGGGCATTCCAGGGGTGATGTTTTTCAGTCCACCGGTCCGCTCCATCGTCTGCAACTGCGCGGCTTCGACCAACATGACGCCATGGCATCTTCATGGCGCGTGCTTTTATGACAAGCTGGTCTCGCAGCTCAACGGTCACGCGTGCGTCTGGGTGACGATCGGCGATGACGTTGGCGGCACCGATGCCAACGAGACGATCACAATCACCCACGTGTACGCGCCGACGGTGCTCTTGCCAACGTTCGTGTGGCTCAAGCTCCTGTACCGTCTCAGTATCACGGGCGTTGTCATGTACCTTCTCCATACAAAGTACAATATACACGTGCGGGAGCTGGAGCTCGCGCTGCGCCGGTATGGACACCGACGCGACCTTACGGGGCGCTGGTCGTATACGATTGTGATTGGCGATCCGACCGTGCTGGTCCTCGCGCACCCGCTGGTCACGCTTGGATTTGTCTTGGACGTCTGGCTGAGCACGGACAACGTCGGGATCGCAACGCTGCGTGCGTCGCAGCTGAACGACCCGCTGCTTATGTTTCAGACCACGCTCTACTTGTCTCGACTGGTTGGATGCCAGTCTGGAAATGTGAGTCGGTACCAGATTGACATGATGTAGGTCTGGTTTGCCTACGCCGCGCTGAGCCTCCTCAACGTGCAGCTCAAGCGCTGCCATCTCGAGCACTGCTTCAAGGCCGTGGACCCCACCATGGTGGCGATTGCCGTCACGATCTACAGCTTTGCATTGTCGTGGGCAGGCCAGAACGTGCCGTTGCTGATTGAGCTCTTCCAGTGGCTCTACCGCCTCCCGGTATCCGCATCCCGGCAAAGCGAAGAGTTGGAACTCATCCTCGGATGCAGCGTCTTTACGCTCATGGTCACGATCGGTCCGGTCACGTACGGCGTCTTTGCCATGTGCTTGGAAAGTAGTATTATACCTCACCCTCGTCCTCCTGGAGTCGGATGAAGCCTTGTTTACGTAGGTGTGCTCCCCCCACGCCCTGGAAATCCATACCACGCTCCGAGCTATACCAATATGAAGAACCGGGTGCTGTACACGCTACTCCACCACTGCGGCTGCTCGAGACAAAACGAGCAAGCGCGACTCTCCCTTGGTGGCGCCGTGCACGAGGTTTTGACCCAGCACCCTCGTGACAAGCGCTGCGTCACCATGAGCTGGCGCGCGACCGACTGCTTCGTCTTGTGCTACAACGAGAATAGGGTCCTCGATACGACGTTGCGTCTGAGTTTGGTCGCGAGTGTCGATCGCACTCGTCGCGCCGCACGTGACGTCGCCCCCGATATGACCTCGGAGCCCTCCGTCTATGTCGTGAATCAGCTGGCGCGACACCCGGGCCCCTGGGGCAACGACTCGAGTCCGTACTATTTTATGCACCCGGCCACGGGGCCGTCCGCGTGGTGCCTCTAGCGTTTTCAATGTACGGAGCAATTAGTCAATACATCAACTTTTGAACAAGTGATTTAGGGTTCCGCAGGGGTGTAGATTTCTCATCATCGTGGGGAGGGCACTCCAGTGAGCACGAGACGGACGATACATCCATTTTAACCACCAACAGGCTATGTAGACTCACAAAACGAATTGGACCGAAACAACTCGGCCCATTAAACCCTCCCGACTCACTTCATCTCGTTGCGTCGGCAAAAAAAGGCGTTTGAACAAAATGTGAACTACAACTGTCGTTGCCGTCGTCGGTCTTATTTAGATGCACCAATGGGACGGCTCTCGCGCCCACGCAATGGTTGGTGGGCTTTGGTTGAGAAGCTGGTGCAGCGTGTACTTGGAGCGGGTGGCAGCGTCCAGCACCGCGAGGGATGGCGTGGGTTCGTTGCGGTCGAGGCTCTCGAGCAAGCTGAGGCGTATACGCTCGACGAGCACATTGTTCTTGTAGCAGTAGACAAAGCATTCGGCGCTTCGAAAGCTGATCGTCGGTGACTGTTTGTAGCGCGCGTTCCGACGAAAAAGGCCATAGACCGTGCCGCCGACCTCGGGCGCCAGATTTCTTTTGTCGGGGTGCGCCCACTGTAGCACCGCAAACGTCGCTCGAGACTTGACACTGTTGTAGCGAAAGCTGCCAAAGGGCGATGCTGCGATCGATGACTGCGCTGCGATTCTTCGCCGTTCTATACGCAATCCAAGGAAATGAGAGGTGGGAGAAATGAACAAGTGGCTAACTGGCACGGTGGCGGCGACACAACGCGCCCACAAAGCCATATACGAGCGGAATGAACCCAATGCTGATCGAATACAGCATCGACGGGACGGAGCCCTCGATGACGTACTCTTTTCTGGACGCCGGAATACCAATCTCGAATGGATAGTGGTACGCTGTCAGGAGAGGGCCCACATGGCCCATCGCCCACGTCACGGCGGGGCCGTAGAATGTCGTTGCCACCGCGATGATGGTCGGGTCGACTTCGTAAAACAAATATTCCTTGTGACGCCGCTTGAGATAACTCGCAACCAAGCACACGGCGGAGTACGCAAACCAGACCTACGCCGAATCAGAAAGTGATATCCGATGTCTCAAACAGATGGTACGTACGGTCCGGGAGAGATACATGAACGCGAGAACCATTACGCCGACATCGGCGCTTTGCGACGCGCGGGGAATGACAAGCGAGATGACCTCGACGCTGAGCCAACAGTCCAAGAAGAAGGCCGTGGCGACGCCGGGGTGCATGAGGATGATTGCGGTCGGGTCACCGTAGAGCACCTCGTAGCGCCAATGACTCTGGACACTGCTGAGACTAGTCCGGTGGCCGCGTCGACGCAGTAGCGCTTCCAGCTGCCGGCAGTGCACGAAGTACTTGGTCCACATGAGGTGGAGCGTAAGGAGTGAGATGCCAACGCGGTAGGCAAACTTGAACGAGTGGAACGCTGAATACGTATAGACGGCGTGTGCCGCCACCAGTGTATACACATTGTAGCTGCTGGTGTTGCTGCCGTCAAGCTCATTGCCGGCGCGAAGCCAGACGCATTAATGCCCGATGGCCATTGAAAAGTACGTGATGTACGTACATGCACGCACCGCGGCGGTCCCACGTGTGATCGCTTGGCAACGAGTGGTTGGCGGCGGCAAAGACACAGAGAACGTTGCGGATGCCTGTGCCGTAGAAGAGAACGCTCGGTAAACCAACAAGGAGCTGGTCGCGGCAGTCGGCGAGCGGGATATGATTGTGATCCATGACGAGGACATGGCGCATGACTTGGATGCTGCGGGCGCTGTCGTCGTAAAAAGGCAGCTGCTGACGGCAGCGTCGAGGCGTTGTACGCTGCTTGCATGTGAGCAAGTGTGTGGATGCTAAAGTCCGAGTCGTTGGCGTTCGTTGGGGGCGCAGGCAGCGTTGCCCAGGGAGGAAATTCCGAGAGGTACGCCTTCATGGGCTACAAGGACAGCATTGAGAAAGAGAATCATCCTACGGAGGATACCATGCTGGCAATGTTGAGGAGCATGATGATGCTGACAGCGAAGGCGGTGCGATTCCGGCGGACGCCAAAGAGGATGACTGAGGCGATTGACGGGCTGATCTGGACGCGTGACTTCATGGGGATACACGAATGTTCTGTTTCAAGGCCGCTGCTGGCTAGTAATGGAGTCACTTTTGGCCACTTGAACCGCAACAAGCTTTATTGATTGGTGCAAACCCAGGGTATGACAGTACACACATAACGAAGACGGCAACGATCGATGGCAGCCAAGATCATCTCCTCATCCGACCTACATTTCTGCACTGTTTTTTGCAACATGATAGAACGAGATTCGTATCCCGCCAAATCGACCGTTTTATACTTTCAATTCAAGCATTGGATCACTTGCGCTGTCCAGTGCGACTGTTGGCTTGCATACTAAGCGGTACTGCTCATCACAACATGGGCAATAGATACGAGTAGACAATTGCGGTGCTGCGAGGCGCGAACCATGGTCACGAGATATCAAAGGGGCAATCATAGAGCGACCACCGTGGAAGTCGACTGGGATGAGCTGAGATGCTTCAAGAACAGAGTCAAATGCCGAGCTTGCTATCGTTCACGCGATTTCTGTCCGTGTCCGCACAACTGCCCCGCCCTTGCCGCGACAATCACCAGTACTCGGATTTGATTTACACATGTCCTAGTGTCTTTCTTTGTCGTTCAATCGTATGTGCAATTTCAATAGCTGTCGGGCGATGCTCTGGCGCGTGCGCGAGGCAGGATTGCGCCAGAGTGATCACCCACATCGGTGTCGACGCCACAAACGATGGAGAGATTGTCCCTTGGATCACGCGCGACATGATGGCCGTGTCCACGAGCGGGTGGCCTTTTGCAAAATATATGTTGTAAGGATACGAACACGCAAGGAGATCATGTACCGTTCTCGGAACGAACGTCGGCGTACGGAATGTCGTGGGTGCTGAGCTCCGAGAGCACCATTCCGAACGAGTAAATGTCGGCCGACGTCGAGTAGTAACACTCCTGAAGGACCTCGGGCGCCTACTCTTTTCTGTTTGCCTTTTCGAGGGAATCGGAGCAGTACCATCCACCGATACGTGCCGACGCCGATCGTCATGGTCTCGGTCGTCATCTCCCTCGAGACGCCGAAATCGGTGAGCTTGGTCCCCTAACACCAATCCTCTATACTCGACACATGTATGATCCATCCAGTGCGCAGTACCTTGATAGCGTCAAGGAGGATGTTTCGGGACTTGAGGTCGCGGTGGATGATGTTCATCGTGTACATGTAGACAAGACCTTCGGCGATCGATAGCATGCAGGTCGCTTTCTCGTCCCAGTAAAAGTGTGGGCGGCGTCGTCTGGTATCGACGGGGCAGTGGCTTGCAAGAGGCTGCGGAGGTCGCCCTTGTCCATCCACTCGAGCACCATCTCGAGCTCGGACGGCGTCCGCCAGCTCGCACCCAGTAGCTTGACAATGTACGGGCTCTCCATCCTGTTGCAGTACGTGTCAGCTATCCAAGTGTACACTGGTTGACCTACATGGAAGCAAGCTGAATCTCAGCGACAAAGGTGGTGACGTCGGCTTGCGAGTGCTTTCCTGGCAATAAGCTCTTGATCGCGACGGGCTCTCCTAGCCCAAGAGCATTGGCACGAGCGTTGAAAGTGACGCGAACCTTTGTACGCGCCTCTCGACACTTGGCCATAGGCGCCTTCTGCGACAAACTGAAGCTTGACGAGGGATCCTTCGTCGAGCCGCAGCATCTGAAGCGCCTACGCAGAGCACAAATGAATGACGCGGCACCAAACGTTGCGTGTACGTCGAGGTACAGCGCGTTGCGCTCCATCAATATTCTACAAAGCAAGAGTCGACAAGAGAGATTCCAGAGTGTAGCGACAAACAGCTGCAGTCGACGCTGCCGTCGAGCCAGGAAAAGGACCAGGGAAGCCACGACGGTGACAAGACCGACGATGATACCAGCAATCGCACCGCTACTGAGGCGCGAGGACGCTTGGTCGGCGCTTGTCGACGCCGACAACGGCGATATGGTCGTCGGTGACGGTGCGGTCGTTGGTGGCGGTGGTGGCGGTGGTGGCGGCAGCATCGACTCTACGCTTACTACGGCGCGAATGCCAACTACCGCGTCGCCTACCTGGCGTCACACACACCGAGTAGGCTCCTTGCATGACGGGTTTGATGCTATTTGGTGCCTTGCAGGTCGCCGAGACGTCGATCGTCGGCGGCAAGTCGTTGTTGTGCAGCTGCACCGTCTTGTTTGCATTGAGGAGCACGGTGTACGTGTCCGGGTTGACAAGAAATGTCGTAATCTTGCAGCCCGAGAGACCGCTAATAGTACAAACACTTGTGACATGTTGCACGCGTGTGCGAGGCGTACAACATCAATGTATCGGAGCGCTCGCCACTGCTCAAAGAGACGTTGGATATCGTCGTGATCGGGTTGTCGTCAAAGTTCCTAGTCGAACACATAAATGTCTTGCTTTCGTGCGACATTTTTTGATGTGTACGCTCGTCTCAAGCCGCGCAAGTCGAGATTCTCGAGGCGCGTAAAGAGATTGCTTCGTACGTCCCTACGCACCGACAGTTGCGGCATTTGCGATAGATAAATACACGTACAGATAGAGGAGCTGCGGCATGGATGCTAGATTAGGCAGCGTCGTGAATTGGGCCTGCCGAAGCTGCCTAATTTAGGTGTGTGTCATGGACGTCGACAATAGTCTCAGCTCGTACAGACTTTCAAGATTGGGCGGCCACGAGGTGTTGGAGGTATTGATCGCCACATTGTAGTTGTAGATGTCCCTAGCGGAACACGTCAGTGCCGACAATACCAGAGTCGGAAACCCACAATTCCTTGACGTTTATTGAGGTCGAGAGATCGCCAATGCCGTGCACAGAGGTGTTGTCGAACGCGCTACGCAGGTCGATGAATCTTAACGCGTTAGTTGTACGAGGTGAGGACGCACACTGTGAGGTTCGCAAAGAGGCTCGGGAGGTTCGCAATGTAATCGACGGGCTCATCTACGTGCCATGAGCTTTTGTCTTAATGCTTTTTGGTACCGTAAATGCGCAAGACGCTGCCCAGCGCCAAGGTAGTAAAGTTCCTCGCCTCGTAAAACGTCGTTGTCTACTCAATGCAGCACCGGTTTCTTGCATGGAAGACAATAAATGTACCATGCATCTCTTGTCGACAATGCAAAACGGACTACTACCGAGACACCCGTCCCGCGTCGCGGTGGCATCGAACTGGTTGATCGTGCCGCCATCGCACAAGCCTGTGGCAGCGTCAAGTGCCAATGCAATCTACAAAGCATCATGTCGCCCTCGTGTCACCACAGAGGCCCTCGCACCAGCAGCGACATCAACCACATCCTACAAGCAAGTGGGCAAAATGGCAAGTGAGGAGCAAGCACGGTGGTAGCATTCCACACGTGAGAAGATGCATTGCCGTTCGGAAATGATAGATTTTTCGCAACAATACATTGAGTCCCTCATAATAATCATGCGAGCGCATGGCGTCGACGAGTCGAGATTACGAAACGAAACGCGAAGAGGCGCAAGGCTCTGTGTCGAAACACCGTTTGTCTAATCGCGCCGCGTGGAGTCGGTGTGTATGTGCGTCGATAGTTGCAGTGAGTTCTTGGCAGAAGCCTCGTGGAGGCCGTGTCGCCAACGTCCTGAACAGGATGGGGACAAGACACTGTACCCAAGTTGGTTTATGGTAACCTTATGAATGCGCGTTTCAACATCATCAAATACGAGTACTGCTTCGTGGCCTTTGCATCATGTCATGGCTAGTGTTGCATTACGGATTAAGGTTCAAATGACCGAATGTTTGAGCTGCCATCAAGTCAGTCGTGCCCAAGTGCACTGTACAGCACGAGATGATATGTCTCGTGCTGACCAGTGCACAAGCCCATGCAGCGTGAAAATGCATATAAAGTGCGTTCGATAAGCGCCGGATTTTTAGCTGTCCGCAAAACTCCAGTCGCAAAGTAGCGTGTAAGTTGTCTTGATTGGAGTTAGAGACACCACGCGCTCGGCTGCACGGGTCGCTGCAGGAGCGGGTGAGCGCGCTGGGCCGACGGCAGCACGAGGACATTCACCGAGTACATGGAATCCTCAGGTGCGTCATGGATCGCCATGTTGGCCTCAAGGACCAAGCGGTCCAAGTCATCGACGAGGCTGAGGCGCAAGCGCTCCTTAAGCGTGCCGTCGCAATAACAGTGGACATAGCAGTCGGAGCCGCGGAAACTAATCGTTGGCCATCGCTTGTAGCGCGGCACGAGCTCAAAGAGGCGGTGCATGGTGCCGCCTATGGCCGGCACGTGTACCGGGAGGGGGCTATGGAGCAAGCGAAGTGCACAGAGCACCAAGCGGTTTTTGATGCTGTTGAAGCGAAAGCTGCTGTACAGATGGAGGTCGCGCGGCGTCGTGCGCGGCTTCCCTATCAACTTTAAACACCAAAAAGTAATGTAGAGGAGACGACACGTACGGAGGAGTGCGTGGGAAAAGCCGTACACCACCGGGAGCGACGCCAGCATGAGCGAGTACATGGTGGATGGAATGCTGCCGTCAAATCGGTCGCGCTTGAGCACGCTTGGAACGACGAGGTCAAACAAAGCGTGAAAGAGCTCGAGGAAAAACTCCACATTCCCCGCCATCCACGTGACCAGCGGACCGTATATCGTCGCTGCAACCGCCACGAGCGTCGGGTCCACCTCGGCAAAGAGGTGTTCTTTCTTGTGGCGCTTCAAGCACGTATTCACGCCGCATAGCGCGGCGTAGGCAAACCACACCTACCATAAGCATCGCAACGACTCGTGCCAACACATCCATTTAGCGCCTACCGTGCGGGAGAGGTAGAGGCATCCGAGAAGCATGACTGTTATCTCGTGGGCTTGGCTGGCGCGCATGATGGCGAGCGTCACAGTGTCGACGCTGAGCCAGCAGTCGAGGGCAAACATCCCTGCAATCGCGGGGTTCAAGAGGATCATGGCCGTCGGGTCGCCCCAAATGACTTCGTAGCGCCACAGATTGGTGCAGGAAGTGCGCTGATGCCCATGGTGTAGTAAGAGCGACTCGAGGTCCAAGCAATGTCGGTAGTACTTTGCGTAGAGGAGATACAAGGTCACGAACGAGAGACCGACGCGAAAGGCGAGCTTGCACCATAGCCAGGTTGTAGAGGCATACGTTGCGATCGCCATCGAGATGGTGAGCCGATGCGTGTGTGCTCCGTCGTCGGCGGTGATCCAAACGCATTGATGGCCAATGTAGAGGCCAAAATAGGTGTTGTAGACACACGTGCCTCGGTTCTGCCACGCAAGAAGATGAAAGTTCGAGGCATTTGCAGCTGCGAGGTCGCAGAGCAGCGATCGAATCGACGTGGTGTAGTAGACAACGCCGGGCTTGCCAAGGAGAAAGTCTGCGACGCAGTTGTCGCGTGCGATCGCCGCGTGCGTGGTCATATCCATCTGCACGCGTACGAGCTCGACTCCTGCCGCAGCGTCGTTGTGGTAGACGCACTGTGGCGGAAGCGTCGAGACATTGTATTTGGCTTGGTACCGTGCGAGCGTTGACGTGTTAAAGTCGGTAAAATTGTCGGACGCGGACCATTGCGCGTCGCGCGTCCACGGGAGGTCCTCAGAGAGGTACGCCTTGATGGGCTACAGACATATTGTCACTACTTCTCTGGACAATGAAGGGGCATACCATGAGCGAAATGTTGAAGAGAATGCCCATGCTCACGAGAAAGGCAAACCTGTTGCGGTAGACCACGTGGCGTGGCAGCCCCGGTACGGCGGCAATCTTGGCGGACGGCATAATGTCGACTCTCGAAATAGCACACTTCTGTCACAAAAGGGCCGTTTCCAAGAAGCGGACAAGCGATCTAGAAGTCCGAGATCTAGAAGCGCACGCGTTACAAGATACAAGACTATTTTAATAGACGACCCACTTCAACAACTACAACCGTGTTGGTCCCCGTGCCCAGCCCGATTCCCAAGCTGCCATGGCTAGTTCGACTCCACAAAGTTACCAAGCCGTTGACCCAGACGACGCCTGCCGAAGCCCGCCGACGTCGTGTCCCGCCAAGGACGCGCTTGCAGCTACCGACCCGCCACCTGGGCGTCAAGGAAGACTTCTATGAGGCGCCCGCTGCCGTAGCCGCCGCAGCTGAGCTCCGGCTACCCGACGCTATCTTACCAAAGTACGCCGACTTCGTCTACCAAGTGATGCTCCGCGCGGTCAAGTTCCGCGCACATTTACACTGGCTCGACAGGACCGACCAAGTGGCTACTTCAAACCATGACCATGAGCAGCGATCGTTAGGGTCCATGCATTTCAAATGTCGTCATATTTACACCAAAACGAATGTCCCTTTCACGCGCTGTTGCGCGCTGCTTAAGATTGAAAAACGATGTCATCGGGCCCCAGTCAAGGTTGGTTTTGTGTCCGTTCCTGATTCAGGACCGAACTACGTGGGGGCAACAAACGTGTTGGTACCTTGTCCCGCGGATCGCGCTCCCCTCTCCGTCTGCCTAGATCATGTCTCTCAGCCGAGTGTACACAACAAAGATAGTCCGACATTTGTATTTAGGTATCCCAGGCGCAGAGCATGAGAGCTCGATAAAGAGCTCGAACCATTCCCGAATAACGTTTTGTCACTCAACAAGCTAACCCTCCCGAGGCGGGCATGGCGACCACCAACACGGTTGTTGTTGTTGAAGTGGGTCGTCTATTACAATAGATAAAACTATGCTACATAAAATTGTCGGACTTTCTTCGTTGTGTGTACTCGGTTGAGGGATTTGATTTAGGCAGGCGGAGGCAGGAGCGCGATCCGCGGAATGAGGTGACGTCGCGGCCACTTGTGTTGGGCGAGGAGCTGGAGAAGTCGACGAAGAGCAGGTTGCTCGGGCTCTTGGACGAGGCTGTGGTGCAAGTGCAGTTGAGCGACGCGTGCCGCCTTGACGGCAATCGTCCATGGACTTAGCAGCGAGAGGTCGGCGCGGAAGACGCGGTCGTTCCGGACTCGCCAGACGTTGAACCAGACGCAGGCGCGGAGCACGGGCCAGAGGTAGCGGAACGCGGCTTGGTGCATGTTGGACGCCGTCTTGGGCGTCGAGTAGAGGTAGCCGGATAGCATAGTCGGCAACGTCACGCCCAAAGGGACCGTGACGGCGTGAAGCGTGCTCCACACGTCCTTGATGAAGTCGCAGTCGACGAGGAAGTGGCGGCACGTCTCGTGCGCGGGGCAGAAGAGGCACGTTTTAATCTCTCAATTTCTCGGCCTCCAGACCTCAGCCGATCGAATGCCATGGTGCATTGTGACCTCCAAAGTGTCCTTGATCGATGTGCCAAATTGCAGCGCAACTTTTTCTGGCTCGGTTTGGCGATGCACGCTGGTCTCGTGCCGTCGTGCAGGGATGAGGTTCCTGTCAAACCAAATATGTATTCGTTTTCACAGGATAAACAATACACCGCTCTTGCTTTTTCACTTTTCACGGCAGTTTTTCCTTGAACGCATCTCCTTCGTAGATGTAGCAATCGATGCTTTGAAAGTTAATTGCCGGGCACGACTTGTAGCGCGGGTGGGTATAAAAAAAAGGTATACGGTGCCCACAGAAGACGCGCCCCAAGCCCATGCAAGGCCACAAAGAGCATCCGTGTCTTGCTGCTGTTGAGCGTGAAGCTGCTGCACGACATCATAATTCGTTTTAACATACGTCGGCCGCCACGGGTGTGTGCGACGCTATGCCAATCACTTCGCGCACGAGCAGGCGTTCGTCGTTGATAAATGCCGTGCCCGCCGACAACGTCTGCGCGCTGGACGCCGTACCAAACGTGGGGAGCGTCGAGGTGTTGTACTCGGTGAAAGTTGGTCGACCCCAGTTCTTGGCGCCCACGGCAGATCGTTGCAGAGGTCTGCCTCAAAGTTGCATGTGAAATGAGATATGTCGTTTGCAATATGAGTACAATATCGAGGCGAATGCGAATTCTGATGCCAATCGCAAACTGATTCCGCCGTATCACGTGGCGAGGTCGTGGCACATACACGCTGCGCCGACAAGGCTCTTGATGAGTGGAATTGTCCCGTCTCGTTTTAAATGGAAATTGATGTACACGTGTTCTCTGAAAGATTGAAAAAACTGAGAGTACATCAACCAATTTTGAGCTAGCTACTAGAGACACCACGCACTTGGTTGTGACGGGCAGAGTAAAAGCGGCGTCTTCTGCTTCTCACTGGTTGGCAGCTGAATCGTATAGACCGTATAGGGCGATGGCTGGTCGCTCGTTGCGATCGCCATTTCTGGCGTGCTGACATTTCGGTCGAAAGCAACGAGGAGGCTCAAGCGAAGGATCTCGACCAGCTTGCCGTTGCAGTAGCAGTGCACAAATACATCAGGGCCGCGAAAGCGGGTCGTCGGGTACTGCTTGTAGCGAGCGTCCAAGTCAAAGAGCGTGTAGATCGAGCCACCGACAGATGGAATGCCCGCCCGGTAGTCGCGCGTCCAGCGGTGCAGTGCGGTAAACACAAGGCGCGTTTTGAATCCGTTGTAGAGAAAACTGCTATAGCGCGCCGGGTCCACCGTGCCTGAGTGAGTGGTCGGCACGAGCTGTATCGTCGACGTACGACGACGCAGGAGCGGCTGGATGAAGCCATACATGATGGGCATCGACGCCAGCATGAGTGTGTACACGAGCGACGACAAGCATCCTTCGAATTCCTGGCCTTTTTCCGCAGCTGGCACGAGCGCTTCAAGAAAACTGAAAAGTTTGGAGGAGAAACGTGACGTTGCCCGAAGCCCACGAGGCGGCTGGGCCATAGCACGTGGCGCCAATCGCGACAAGCGTCAAGTCGACTTCGGCAAACAAACGTTCCTTGTGCCAGCGCTTGAGCACATACGAGGTGAGGCCCATGGCGGCATACGCAAACCAGACCTAATCGCTGCGGTAAGCGTCCATAATAAATGCATCCGAGAATCCAGTACGGTCCGCGAGAGGTACAGAAATGCCGTCCACATGACAATGATGTCGTCGTTCTGGCTGGCGCGCACAATCACGACCGTGACGACGTCGACGCTGAGCCAATAGTCGATAACAAAGGCCAGAGCGATGCCCGGGTGCAGCAGCACAAACGCAGTTGGATCCCCCCAGAGCACCTCGTAGCTCCAGTCACCGTCGGGCATTGTGGCCAAGTGCCCGCGCGTCGCCAACACGTGCTCCAGCGCGTAGCAGTGGAGATAGTAGTCGGTCCAAACGACATGTAGAATGCGCAGCGTCACCAGAATCCGGAAAATGAACTTGAACCAGCGCCATACATACGTCGTGTACATGGCAAGGGCACTCACGACGACAAGCGTGTCTGGTTGCGCCGGGTCGAATTCGAGCCAGACGCATTGATGGCCCAAGTTGATGGTGAAGTACATGTCGTAGACACAGAGACCTCTGTTGTGCCACTGCGCCGGCTGCACGCTGGCAGTTGCACCGAGCTCGCAGAGGAGATTCCGCACGGACGAGGTGAAGTAGACCACCCCAGGCATACCGCGAAGAAACGAGCCGACACAGTCCTCGACGGCGACCGACACGTGGGCGTTGAGGTCCAAAGCGAGACGCACGACCTGAACGTCGCTTGACGCATCGCTAAAGTACGTACTCGTGTTGGGGAGCCGCGAGAAGGCGTACTCGGTTCGGTACTTGTCCAGAATCGTCGCATTGAAGCTCGAGTAGTTGGGAAAAATGGGGCGCTCGATCAGAGGCCCCCACGGCACATCTTCCGAGAGGTATGCTTTCATGGGCTACAGCCAAAGACGGAGTGTGAGGCGACTCCGAAATGGTTCATGGTACCATGCAAAGCACGTTGATGAGAAAGAGGAGGCTGACGCTAAGGATGAAGGCGTTGCGGCGCACCGTGCGCGGCCCTTGCAGGACGTCGCCTTTCCCAGGGCCCGGAGGCACGGGGCCCGACACGACCTTGGCTGTGGCCATGCGACCGTTTTTCGAGTGGGCAAAACGGCAAAGTCGAGTCGGAAAGAAAGTACATGTCGACTTTGTCGTGCATCTTTGTACATTGTAGCGTGTTGATTCCAACAAAAATGAATTTATGCTTGACAGCGAGTCTTGTCTGACCACAGATTGTCTTGTCGCTGCTCCGGCGTCTGCCAATGGTCAATAAGAAATCTTTTTACTGACCCTCGCGTCTGCTACCCAGGCGTCTTTGCCCTCCGTAGTTGGTTGTTTGCGCTCGGACAAAGTCGAAACAGACTAATTGGACAAGGTGGCTGGCGAAACTAGTAGCATTTGGGCTGAACGAAAAGCAAGCAGCCCAGTAGCAAAGCTGCACACGTTGAACCCTCTGTTCAAAACACGCTAGTGAAATCAATACAGTCCCTACAACTACTGTTCTAGTTGATCCATCGGCCTGCGGGTTTGATTTTCCAGAGGGCGGGGTTACGCAGGAATCGTCCGTCTTGCGTGCACGAGGACTGAGTCGATTGGCGAGGTGACAGAGAACGGGTCGATGACTGACTACAGCGGCCTCGGAGGGCCCAAGGCTTCGCATCTTCTCTCCTCCACACGTTGTCAAATCTTGCTACAAATGCCGCAATGATGACTTGTTTTCGTGTCGTAGGTACCGTGGGCTCTGGGCCCCACAAAGCGAGATCCGACTCTCTTCCTTCCTGTAGCAACTTATCTTGAGCTTCGGTGAAGCATTGGTTTTGTTGCTGTGCTGGCTCGTTTTATGCATTGGACGTTAATAGACAAAGTCCCTAAAAAAGCGACAGTTTTTCATTCAAGCATGCCTCTTTCCCGCGTCCACGTTGTGCCCGGTCCCTCGAGCGCGACCCCGACACTCTTTGGCGTTCGCCGCAACTTCATTGCCTTTGGCGTCAGCATCATCATGCTCCTCAACATTGCAAGCATGGTCACACTCGTCTCCCGTCCTCTGTCTCAGCAACACTAACTGTTGAATGTGGTAGCCCATGAAGGCGTACCTTTCAGAGCACCCACCGTGGGCGGCCCTCCCACCACGGCCAACGTACGCCAACGACTCGGACTTCAACATACAGACACTGTCTGGTATGCAAGCAACGTACAGCGCCTCGACGCTGCCGGCAGCAGCTTCCTTTTACGACGACAGCGCCCGCAACGCTCAAGTCATGCGCCACATCCTCGTCATGAGCCACAGTCCCATTTCGGTTGATGACTGCCGCGAACACTTTCTCGTCGGCTTACCCAGCGTTCTCTTCTACGGCGCAGGCATCCGCAACGTTCTCTGTGCCTTTGCCGCCGCCAACCACTCGTCGCCAAGCGATCACACGTGGGACCGTCGCGGTGCGTGCATGTACATCACGTACTTTTCCGCGGCCATCGGGCATCAATGCGTCTGGCTTCGCGCCGGGAACGAGCTCGACGGTAGCAACACAAGCAGCCACCAGGTATATACACTGGTGGCGGCACACGCCGTCTACACGTATTCAGCGTTCCACTCGTTCAAGTTTGCCTACCGCGTTGGCATCTCACTCCTTACGCTCCACCTCATGTGGACCAAGTACTTTGTGCACTGTCGGCATCTCGAGGCGCTGCTGCGCCAACGCGGCCACCGGGCACGTCTCCGCGCTCAGAGTCATTGGCGCTACGAGGTGCTGTACGGTGACCCGACCGCGATCATCCTCATGCACCCCGGCGTCGCCACGGCCTTTTTCTTGGACTGTTGGCTCAGCGTCGAGGTCATTTCGCTTGTCATTCCCCGCGCGTCGCAAAGCGCCGATGTCGGCGTGATGGTCCTCGCGTTCATGTATCTCTCCCGGACCGTACGTACCATCTGTTTGCGACATCGGATATCGCTTTCTGATTCGGCGTAGGTCTGGTTTGCGTACTCCGCCGTGTGCTTGGTTGCGAGTTATCTCAAGCGGCGTCACAAGGAATACTTGTTTTACGAAGTGGACCCGACCATCATCGCGGTGGCAACGACATTCTACGGCCCCGCCGTGACGTGGGCGATGGGCCATGTGGGGCCACTCTTGGCCGCGTACCACTATCTATTCGAGATTGGTATTTCGGCGTCCAGAAAAGAGTACGTCATCGAAGGTTCGGTCCCGTCGATGCTGTATTCGATCAGCATTGGGTTCATTCCTCTCGTCTATGGCTTTGTCGGCGCGTTGTGTCATCGTCGACGTACACCTCGAAACCATCTGTCGGTAGACATATGTATCTAATCGGCATGGTTGTGGTGGTAGGTTCACGGCGGATACTGTCGAGCGTCGCGTCCTTCTACGGCAGCTTTCGCTACAACGGCATCAAGACCCAAGCAATGTTCGCAGTGCTCCAGTGGATGCACCCGAGCAAGAACGTCCGCGTGCCCGAAATCGGCGGCACGATCTATAGCCTCTTTCGTAAAAACGCGCGCTACAAACAGTCGCCGACGATTAGTTTCCGGAGCGCCGACTGCTTTGTCTACTGCTACAAGGACAATGTGCTCGTCGAGCGCATTCGCTTGAGCCTACTGGAGAGCCTCGACCGCAACGAATCAGCGCCTACACTGGCCATTCGGGAGGCCAAGAGTGCGCCGCACTACTCGTTCAACCAACTCGTCGATCATCAGACACCACCAACGATCGTACGCGCCCCCAAACCATCCGAGTGGTGTCTCTAGGCTCGGTTATTGAGGAGTCGAACGAACCCGTTTTTCATTCTCGTGTTCCTTCAGTTGAAGATATTGCTCCCATTATCAAAACGCACCGAAATACTCTGTGGTCTACAGGCGAATGGACACGCAAAAACCCATTCGTGGGAAGCGCCTCACGTGCTGGCCAGTCGGCTGTCCTGGAAAGTGAAGGCAATCCCGACATTACCTTCCGGAGGTGAGAGATATCACATTTTAGAGGTATGACGTGGCGCGCGCTACTGCGCTCTTCCCATTTTGCCCAAGAATCAAAGCAGCGATAAACGCTCTTACGCAACAAGCTTAGAGGCACTACGGAGAATCAGAGCAGCGAGATATGCTCTTACGCCACACGCTTAGAGGCACCACGGAGAAGGCCGCGACGAGAGGTGCAGGACACGTGAGACGCTAGGGCCACTGCTGCACTCCGCTGCGGCCGACGTCTCATTCTCCACCCGCGTCATGACAACCAGCGTGTTGACGCAGTATGGGGACGGAACGGCGCTACTTGGAACAGAGAGCAGTGCCTCGCCTTCGTGTCGATCGACGGTCGACAAAAGCGTGAGCCGAAGGCGCTCTTTTAGAATGCCGTCCTGATAGCACAAGACAAAGCAGTCGGTCGCGCGAAAGCTGATGGCGGGACACCTCTCGTACTGCCGATTGGCTGTAAACAGGGCGTAGACAGATCCGCCGCGCTCAATCGTGGAGTGCGGTGACCTGAACTGTGGCTCAAAGCACCCCAGAAGCGCCAAGAGAGCTCGGTTCTTCCAAGGATTGTAGCGAAAGCTGGCGTACGCTGCAATTGGCATCGTTGTTCTTGCCCCTACGCACAAATCTTTTTCTGTGGCGTAGCATTGGACTGTACACGTACAACGTGCGCGACCAAAGCCATACACCAGCGGTAGCGACGCGAGCGAGACAAAATAGACACCGACAGCTGGCACGGCTTCAAACTTGGTGTCTTGGTCCGACGTTGGTACTGTGACGCGGCCGAGGTACTGGTACAACTGCAAGAGAAAGCTGACGTTGCCCATGCACCACGTGAGCGCCGGACCGTAAATCGCTGTTGCGATCGCTAGCGCCGTCGGGTCGATTTGAGCAAACGAGTGTTCCTTGTGGTAGCGCTTCAGAAGGAGCGTCGTCGTCGAGACGGCCAAGTACGGTAGCCAGACCTAAACGAAAACGAGTCTCCTGACCATCTTGATCGTCGAAATAGGGACGTACGGTGCGGGAGAGGTACATAAATGCGACGAGCATGACGTAAATGTCAGTGCTCTGCGAGGCTCGAAGCACGGCGAACGTCAACGTATCATAGCTCGCGACAATGTCGACGCAAAGCAAGAATGCGACAAGAGGGTCGGTCAGCACCATGGCCGTGGGGTCGCCCAGCACAACCTCATAGCACCAGACCGAAGCTGTCGTTTTGACTCCCATCGGTCGGTGTCCGATAATGGCCAAGGACGACGCAAGCGCAGCGCAGTGAACGTAGTAGCGCGTCCAAACAAGGTATGCAATGTACACGGTTGTGAGTGTCCGGTAGATGAACTTGGCGAAACACCACAGCACCATAGGGTACGGACGGGCCGCGTACGTTAGAGTATAACCGGGTGCTGAGGCGTTGAGCGCAAGATCGTCGCCGCTTGTGAGCCAAAGACACTGGTAGATCCATGGCTGCGTAAAGAAGGTTTGGTCCATGCAGCTACCATGACCGTCCCACGCAGAACTGCTGTCACTGTCGTGCATGGCCATGTCACAAACCAGTCGAAAAAAAGGCGGACCATAAAAGATCGCACCAGGTAGGCCTGGGAGGACTTCCGAGGCACACGCATCGAGACTCGTGATGTGCGGGTTGATGGCTTTTCGAAGCACGTACCCCGTTGCGTCTTCATAGTACGTCACTTGCGGGGGGAGTGTGCTTCGGTTGTATAGTCCCTGGAAGTGGAAGAGTGTAGAGGTGTTGAAGGCTGTAAAGTTGGTCGAGGCGAGCGGCGCCGGGGGCGACACATACGACCACGGCAAGAACTCGGTCACGTAGGCTTTCATTGGCTAGCACAGTGGGGTGACAATCGCGTTGAGGGTGTGAGTGTGGTACCATGGCCACGAGGTTGCCTAACATGATCAAGCTCAAAAGCAAGGGAGGTCTACTCCAGCGCACGGCGTACTGCTGTCTTCGCGCAGCGATGGCTTGGATAGCGCCGTGCACATCGGATACCTTGGTCATCGCGGATGTGCCAAGTTTAGAGCACTGAAAACCGCCTTGATGCGCTTATGGTATGGGTACAGTGGACGGCAACGCCAATGATATTACTCCTTTGAATCATTGTTTCTTGGTCGTAGTGGGATGAGCAGAGACGTTTGGCGCTTTCATCCGAAGGCAGCAGTCGCATTCGACAGCACACGCGACCTTACTCTTGGATTTGAACCATGAAACAGTCGAATCGGGCGGGAAACCAAGCTCGTCCTTTAATGGTGCAAAATAGCCCGCTGGCTGGAGATTCTCTTGGCTGGCCATGTATCGTTGCCTTTTTCGCTATGCTTTTGTGCCTCTACATTTTGCGTCAATCCATAAAGCTTATCGAAATGCGACTCGTGAAAAGTAACTCCATCGACACGCAACAACAGCATTGAAATAGAACATTCGGGTAGTGCCCATGTCACGTGCCCAGATCAGCCCCTCGATCGCCTCTGTTGTTACCTTTGGCGTCCGCCGTAATCGCATCGCCTTTGCCGTCAGCATCATCATGCTCCTCAACATTGCCAGCATGGTATCCTCCGTAGAACGATTCTCTTCCTCAATGTTGTCCTTGTAGCCCATGAAGGCGTACCTCTCGGAATTTCCTCCGTGGGCGACGTCGCCTGAGCTTCCGACGTATGCCAACGACTCGGACTTCAGCATCCAAACACTTGCTGGTATGCAAGCAACGTACAATACCTCGACGCCACCAGTCGCGACGCCATATCACGATGACAGAGCACGCAGCATCCAAGTCATGCGCCATGTCCTCGTCATGAGCCACAGTCCCATTTCGGTTGATGACTGCCACGGACACTTTCTCGTCGGTTTACCCAGCGTTCTCTTCTACGGCGCAGGCATCCGCAACGTTCTCTGTGCCTTTGCCGCCGCCAACCACTCGTCGCCAAGCGATCACACGTGGGACCGTCGCGGTGCGTGCATGTACATCACGTACTTTTCCACGGCCATCGGCCATCAATGCGTCTGGCTTCGCGCCGGGAACGAGCTCGACGATAGCAACACAAGCAGCCACCAGGTATATACACTGGTGGCGGCACACGCCGTCTACACGTATCCAACGTTCCACTCGTTCAAGTTTGCCTACCGCGTTGGCATCTCGCTCCTTACGCTCCACCTCATGTGGACCAAGTACTTTGTGCACTGTCGGCATCTCGAGGCGCTGCTGCGCCGACGCGGCCACCGGGCACGTCTCCGCGCTCAAAGTCATTGGCGCTACGAGGTGCTGTACGGTGACCCGACCGCGATCATCCTCATGCACCCCGGCGTCGCCACGGCCTTCTTCTTGGACTGTTGGCTCAGCGTCGAGGTCATCTCGCTTGTCATTCCCCGCGCGTCGCAAAGCGCCGATGTCGGCGCGATGGTCCTCGCGTTCATGTATCTCTCTCGGACCGTATGTGCCATCTGTTTGCGACATCGGATATCACTTTCTGATTCGGCGTAGGTCTGGTTTGCGTACTCCGCCGTGTGCTTGGTTGCGAGTTATCTCAAGTGGCGTCACAAGGAAGATTTGTTTTGCGAAGTGGACCCGACTATCATCGCGGTGGCAACGACATTCTACGGCCCCGCCGTGACGTGGGCGATGGGCAACGTGGGGCCACTCTTGGCCGCGTACCACTATCTATTCGAGTTTGGTATTCCGGCGTCCCGAAAAGAGTACGTCATCGAAGGTTCGGTCCCGTCGATGCTGTATTCGATCAGCATTGGGTTCATTCCTCTCGTATACGGCTTTGTCGGCGCGTTGTGTCATCGTAGACGTACACGTCAGCTACTCTTTTCATTCTCCCCACCGCTTATTTCCTTGTATTGCGTATAGAACGTCGCCGGGTTCAAGCACAATCGCCGATCATTGCCTCGGTCTATGGCAGTGCCCGCTACAGCAACGTCAGGACGAAAATCATGTTTGCGGTGCTACAGTGGGTGCACCCCGACAGGAACATATTGGCGCCCGAGATCGGCGGCACGATCTACAGCCTCTTTCGTCAAAACCCGCGGTACAAACAGTCGCCGACGATTAGTTTCCGGAGCGCCGACTGCTTTGTCTACTGCTACAAGGACGGCATGCTCGTCGAGCGTCTCCGCTTGAGCCTGCTCGAGAGCCTCGACCGCAACGCATCCACGCCGTCTCTGGCCGTCGTGCTCGAAACAGAGCCGTCCTCGAACCCATACTCATTCAATACGCTTGTCGACGCGGCACCACCCCGTATATTTGAAGCCCCCCAGCCATGCGCGTGGTGTCTTTGAGGGCCGTCTGTCGACGACGCAGCATCGACGGATTGTGCATGCTGCGGTGTAGACATCCACCATACATTCTACGTAACAAATATCATTGGAAAAGTGGGTGGCAATGAAAGCGTACACTTCTCTGAGCTTCCGCTGTGGGCGACACTCTTCTCTGACGACGACTGCCCGCACGCTTTCCCGTTGTAAAACCTATCGCCCTCTACTCGGCGTCAACATCGAGCTCTGGGCGTTGGCGGCCGCAACCACTCGCTTGACACGATGGCGTCATGGGACGGCCTAGGCGCGTGGATGCACTTTACGTACGTGTCGTTTTTGATTGGCGACCACAGCGTCTGGTTGGGCGCCGGCAACGCAATCGACGGCTCGACCGCAGCACGGATGATTACGGTTGTGGTTCTGGTTGACGATTTTTTACCGATTTTTTCTCTCGAGCTTTGGGTTGTACCTCAGGTGGACCAAGTAGTATGCCCAGTGCCTTGCGCTCGAAGACATTCTTCAGCAATATGGGCACCGCGACAACAAAGACAAACGTGGTCGCTGGTAGGGGGTGGTGCACGCCACCGCAACCATCCTCATGCACCCATAGTCACAGCCTCCTTCTTCCTCGACTGCTGATTTAGCGTCGAGATATTCTCTCCGTCGCGATCCCAAGAGCGTCCCAGAGCGCCGACGTTGGCGTCATGCAGCTTCATGTGACCGTACAAACATATGTTTATAGACCATCATTCGGCACTGTGGAATGTATGTGATAGGAATGTCTCCGCGGCCATGTGTGTGACGGCAACGCCATACGGAGCTCACAAAAGTCGACCCAACGATCCTTGCGACCGCCGCGATCTTGTACGGTCCCGCGATTACGTGGGCGATGGACAATGACCCGGGTCTTCTCGCAGCGTACATCTACCTCATTCCTTGCACACTTCCCAGGGCTACCGGTACTCCATCGAGGGCGGTCTTTGCTCCGTGTTATACACGATGAGCATTGTGTGCATTCCAATCCTGTATGGCGATGTCCTGGCGGCGTGGCTTTGAGGTATGTCGCCGCCACATGTTTACGACTCGATACGCGTGCAGGCCGCGCCCGGGGCTCTCGAGTCTCATGACCAGGTATGCAAGCTTCCGCTACAACAGCGTCAAGACCAAGGTGGTCTTTGCTGGAGAACCTCGACCGTAATCTCGCGACGCCGTCCGACTTCAACTTCAACGTCCTTGGGACGACTAGTCTTCTGAGTACACACATACAACGAAGAAAGTCCGACAATTTTATTTAGCATAGTTTTATCTATTGTAATAGACGACCCACTTCAACAACGACTGGTCTTCTGCGTCAGCCAACGAGTTGGCATCTCTAGTCTTTTGTTCAAGCCCTTTTTTGTATACGATAAACAAGACAATTATTCACTAGCACGGATGATCTCAAGCCACTTGGACCAATATTGCCGCCTCCTATTGTCGACGGCCGATATGCCAGTGGGCAGAAATTCTGCAAAAGTAAAAAAATTCAAATACGCAGGTATCGCAATTCATTTGGAAGGGGAGGGAAATGACGGGACCGATAGATAGTTCGACGACGATCTTCTTTTGTCTACTCGACGAGCGACGCGCTGACGTGCATGAGGCTCGTGGCGCGGAAGCCTTCGCCAAAGCAGTCGGCTTGCACGTAGCCCTGCAGCTGATTGAGCCACTGCCCGGACGCCGACGCATCCAACGCCTGCTCGAGCGCGACCGCCGTCGACGTCATGTACGTGAGCATATTGGCCAAGACAGCGCGCTCGATGAGTGCGTGCTCGTGCCCGAGGTGCGCCAGCGGCTGCATTTGCCACTCTTTGAGCTTGCGGCAGACGCTCAGCACCACGTGGCGCGTTGCAATGTGCGGGCTCTCGCGGAGCCGGAGGTAGCTCAGCACGACGGCGCCGTACCGGGCCCAGAGAGGCATCGCCGCTTGGTGCGGCTCGAGCGCCTGGAGCGTGCTGCCGAGCTCGGCCGTCTCGCCCCGGAAGAGGCGGGGAATCGCCACGTGGAGCATGAGCACGCGGTGCGCGTGGTCAAAGTTGCCCGCAAGCATGTAGTGGTCGACCGCCGACGCGTACGCGGCCGTCGCCATCGCGGTGGTTGCCATCGCATCGTGAAACCACTCGGTTGGCACGAGGCCTTGGAGCGACGTTAAGGCACCGTCCTTGGCCGCCGCCGTGTGCAGGAGCGAGAGCACCGTGGCCTTGCGCGCACGAACATCGTGGATCGTCAAGCCGACGTAGATGGCGTCCGTGACACGCCCCGCGTCGATGAGCGTCGAGATATAGTTGGACGTGAGAAGCGCGGCTTGCTTGGGCGACAGGCACAGCGACTGACCGGGCACATGCGAGAGGACGTGATAGAGGTGCCACGCCGCGTCGGGCTCGAGCACGTTGAGCAGCGGGACCAAGGACGCTTTCGCGCCGACCGCAACGTCCAAGAGCTCCATGATCGGGTCCGCCTTGAGATGGAGGAGCGGCGGCTTGCACTGCTGGGCCGCAACCGCGCGCGTGAACGTATCGACCGCAGACGCAAGCGACTGCGGGCCTTGGGCAAACCAAAACACGATCGCGAGCGATTGGAGCCAGTCGAGGTGCGACAGACGCTGCGTCACGACTGCAAACGAGCCGGCCAAGAGCGAGTAGATCCACGCGAGCTCGGGCTCCATAAACTGAAGCGCCTCCGTCGTCGCCCACGCTTCGAGCTGCTGCAAGAGCGCGGCGCGAAAGTCCCCGTCCCGGTGCGTCGAGGCTTGTGCAATCAGCGTCGCCAAGCGAAAGTTGCCGAGCGACGCGGCCATCGTCGCAGCCTCCACGAGGCGGTGCTGGCACAAGAGCGAGAGCACGTTGTGGAGCGACGGCAAGGACGACGACGTCGGGCGCGCCACGGCCTTTTCAAACCACTGCGAGAGATACGCGTGGCGACGGTCCGACGTCGCGAGATCGTTCAAGGACAACGGCGCATTCGAGATCGGAGCCAAGTATGGGGCCGTAGCACCCGACGACGACGACGACTCTTGGCCGTACAAGGCCGCCACGAGACCCCAGAGGAGACCGTCGTGGCCCGTCGCCGCCGATGTAAACCCGGAGAGGAGCCCCGACACGTCGGCCGGCAGCGTCATGTGGAACGACACGGGGTCTTGGCGACTGACGCTGCGGTGCGCCGCCAGAAGGGCCGTCCCCGTCGCCGGCGTCCGGGTGTAGATCGAGACCCGCTGCGCCGCGTGCGTCGTCACAAGTTGGCCCTGCGGCCCAAACGACGCGCGAAACGACCGCCCGAGAAAGATACCAAGGTCGAGCGACTTGAGCGGCGCGTTCCAGAGGCCAAGGAGCGTCGACGTCGACGGCGTCACCACGGGGTACACGGTGAGCGACCGGGGCACGGGTGCCGACGGCGTCGCAGGAACCGGTTCGACGACCGCGAGGCGACTGGCCGAGAGCGTCGGGACCGGCGTCACGATCTTCTCCGGTTCCGACGGCAGATACAAGGCCGAGAGTTCGTGCAACCGGTGCGGGTTGAGCTGCAGCTGCGTCGCGACCTGCTGCAACCCCGTGGCGTCGGTCGTGGCCGTCGCATCGTCGTCGCTCTCGTCGTCGTCGAGGCCGTACCGGCTAAAGTGCTCGACGCGGAACTTCCACACGCCCGCGTCCGGGTTGTAGTCGACGTGCGTCGCGTCCATGGTTTCGGTGCGCGCAATGACGCGCTCAATGTACTTTTCACGCTTGGCGTCCTGCGTCGGCGGGTACACCTGGAGGAGCTCGACGAGCGCGGGCCGGTTGAGGCCACTGCCCAGCGCGTGCTTGTTGTCTTCGTCCGGATACACGACCACCTCCCGCGTCGAAAACAAGACGAGATCGTCCAAGTTGAGGTTGGTCACGTCCGTCGCGCCGTACCACTGCACGCACCCGAGGCCCTTGCAGCCGACCGCAAAGTTGTCGACGCTCTGGAGCTCCTTGGTCGTCATCGTGCGAAGAAGCGCCAGGTCCGGCATCGTGTAGTAGCCTTCTTTCGTCAGCGTCGGCGCCAACGGGTTCTCGGCCGGCGACGCAAACTCCGACGTCGACGCGCTCGTCGCCGACTTGTAAAACGAGTCAAAACTCACAAACGGCTGGGCGGCCACGACCTCGAGCGACCCGTGTACGAACGACGCCGCCGTCATCGACGCGTTGATCGGCGTTCCGTCAAACTGCACGTCAAAGGCGCCGGTGAGACCGGCTTTTTCGCCAATGAGCGCGCGGACGTCGGCACCGGTCGCGAGGCTGTCGACGACGAGCTCGAGCGTTGTCTTGGACGGCAGCGAGATGGAAAGCGACACGGTCGCCGTCGCCGACGACGCCTCGGTCTCGGCCGGAATCACATGCGGCGCGGTCGTCGGCGGCGGCACCCGGCGCACTTTCGGCGGCGTGTCAATGTTGAGTTGCTTGGTCGCAATGCTCTTGAACTTGGTCGTCGCAAAGCTAAAGTCGGCGGCCGGTGCACTGGCCGTGTCGTCGAGCAGGCGGCGCGCGGGCGTCGGCGCCGACACCGTCGTCTTGGGCACACTTAAAAACGTCGGGACGGTCGCGACCGGGCGCACGAGCGACGACGGGCGCTGGTACTCGACCGCGTCGACGGCCTTGGCGCGCGGCATCGCGTTGGGCACAGGCAGCGTCAGCGTCGTCTTGATCTGCTGCTCAATGAGGCCCGCGCCAAACGAACCGGCGCCGTACGGGTTCGAGTCGTGGCCCGCGACAAGCGTCGTCGGAGCCGCGGGGGCCGCCGGCTGGCCAAAGCCGCCGGTCGACGCCGTTTGGTTGGGCGCGCCAAAGCCACCGCCCGGTGCCGAGAAAAGCGACGAGCCAAATGCCGACGTCGCGCCGCCCGTGGCCGCGGGCTTGTTGAAGAGACTCGTGCCGGTGGTCGATCCAAAGCCGGTGGTGCCGGTGTTGCTGCCGCCAAAGCTAAACGGAGCCGGTGTCGTGGACCCCGAGGCGCCGCCAAACATCGAGGTGCCCGTCGTCGGTGCGCCAAAGCCACCGGTGGCCGGCGTCGTCGTCGTCGTCGCGCCAAAGCCACCGAACGTCGATGTCTGCGGCTTGGTCGCGCCGAACGAGCCAAAACCACTTGTGGTCGTGTTGGTCGAACTCGAGGCGCCAAAGAGCCCGCCCGTCGCCGGCGCCGTGGACGGCGTCGCGCCAAAGCTAAAGCCACCCGCACTCGGCGCCGAGCCAAATGCACCGGCCGCCGGCGTCGACGGCTTGGCAAAGCTGAACGCGTTGTTGCTGCCCCCAAACGCATTATTGGTTTGCGCCGGCGCGGTCGTCGACGCTTGGCCAAACCCGCCAAAAGCACCGGCCGTCGTCGTCGTTGTCGAGCCAAAGCCGCCGGTTGCCGGTTGCTGCGACCCAAAGCCACCGGCGCCAAACGCACCGCCGGGCGACGCAGTGCCAAAGCCCGATGTCGTCGTATTCGTGTTCGTGTTGGCGCCGAAACCTCCGAACGCCGACGTCGGCTGCTGCTGCTGCGCCGGCTGCGCACCAAAGGCCGACGTCGTCGCACCGCCAAACATGCTGTTCGTGGTCGTCGAGCCAAACCCGCCGGTCGCCGGCTGCTGCGACCCGAAGCCGCCGGTACCGAATGCCGACGGCGCCGCCGGTTGCGCTCCGAAGGCCGACGTCTGCTGCGAGCCAAAGCCGGTCGACGGTGCGGCGCCAAACGCAGACGTGGTCGTGCTACCAAAGCCACCGCCACCGAGCGGCGGCTTGGCACCAAACGCGCCGGGCGCGGTCGTTGTCGCTGCGCCGAAACCACCAAAGCCCGTGGTCGTCGTCGTCGTCGTCGGAGCGGCAGCGCCCGTGTTGGGCACCAAGTTGGCCTGTTGCTGCGCGGCAGCGGGGTCGGTGCGCTTGAGGTAGTCTTCCCATCGGAGCTCCTCCACCGACTTGTGCTGGTACTGCGGCATCTTGGAGATCGACTGGAAGTGGACCGTCGTCGCGGGCTTGTTCTTCTCGGCCTCTTGCTCGGACGACGTAACGTACGGCGGGTTGCCCGTACCGCACTGCGGCGCGCTGTTGGCCTGGGCGCCAAAGCCACCGCCGCCAAACGCAGATGTGGGCGCAGCGCCAAAGGCCGACGTCGTCGCAGGCGCAGCGCCAAATGGGCTCGCAGCCGCGCCTCCAAAGGCCGACGTTTGCTGCGCGGGGGCTCCAAAGGCGCTCGGGGCCGCGCCAAAGCCATTCGATTGCTGCGCGCCAAAGCCAGTGGTCGCGCCAAAGCCCGTCGACGCCGGTGCACCAAAGGCCGACGTCTGCTGCGCAGGCGCGCCAAATGCACCGGGGGCCGAGGTCGCGCCGAACGTGCTGGTCGTCGTCGTGCTGCCGAAACCGCCCGTCCCGAACGCAGGCTTGGGGGCGGCAGCGCCAAACATGCCACCGCCAAACGGACTCGCGGCGGCGGTGGAGGTCGTCGGCGTCGGGCCGAACGGGCTCGCGGCCGGGGCCGCGGCAGCGCCAAAGGCCGATGTTTGTTGTTGTTGCTGGGGCGCGGCGCCAAAGCCGCCAAAGCCGACGTTCGTGCCCGCCGATGTGTTGCCAAAGGCCGACGTCGCGGCAGGCGCTCCGAACGCGTTTGTCGTGCTCGCGCCAAAGGTGCTGGACGTGCCAAAGGCCGGCGACGAGTTGGCACCGCCACCAAAGGGCGACGCGGCCGCCGGGGCAGCGCCGAACGGAGAGGCCGCGCCGGTCGCGGGCGCAGCGCCAAAGCCGCCAAAGCCAGTCGAAGGTTGCGTCGCGCCAAAGCCGGTCGCGGGCTGCGCGGGCGCGCCGAAGCCAAAGCCGCCGGTCGCGGGCTGCGTAAACCCTCTGAACGCCATCGAATTGGTTTTTAACACGGCTCTTGGAGGTGGTGTGTATTAAATTACTCGCCATTCAATTCGGTCTACAAACACCAAGTTTGTTTTGCGATGGAAATTTAAATACAAAGGGTGGCACTAGTATACAAAACCCAAGTGGTTTCTGGCGCCGCAAATCCTATACTGAAATCCATACATTGGAACGGGCGGCAATAGAAGTTGCTTCTGCTGCTGCGGTCGCAAGGACAGCGCGTGAAGGACGGTAGAGCTCGCTGCTATTACTATTGGCATTTATAGTAGTATTGTCTATGGCGTACAACTTGTACATTGATAGCGATAATACCATTCTGCCTTTCTTGCAGACGCCTACATTATTGAACGCAGGATCCTCAAAGAGACAGAGAACGCGACGATGCAACGATGCGCCACTGCTGGTCCCTGAGTGTATTAGCAATTATTCATAGTTGGAGCATATTGATTAGGAGCTATTCCCATCGACGAGGTAGTCGCAGCGAGAGAGTAGGGCGTGAAAAAGTGTGGTGGCGATTGACTTGAATGGGTCCACCAATCCAAGGCCGGTATTGTCCAATGCGACGATTGGATTGGCTCGGACTTTGTTTGAAACCCTCTGTAACCGCCGAGGACCTACCCCTGACGGCGGACTACGCTAGATGTTGGCTGTCTAGTCTGTGAGAATACGCTTGCAGCACGTTGATCATGATGAGCTATGAGCCCGCCGAGAACGTGCTGTCTTCTCATGACACCTTCAGCAGTACTATGCGGAATCAAGAGGAATCGAGTGGAATGAAGGAATGCAAATTTGCCAACTTCCTCAAAAGTAGCGCGTGTAGCTCACACAAACCAAAGGTAAAGGAAAGATGACACGTTCCCGATCGGCTCTATCGCTAGTTGCTTGTCATCGCGTGCGGAAATGAACTGCATGTATTGGGCAAGTTACTGTCGCCTACTGCTCGTCGTCGGCGATGCGCGCAGCGTCCGTGCCATGGCCAAACGTCTTGCCGAGGAACATTTCCCGGTCAAAGCCGTTGCCTGCGAGTACACAATAAGGACGACTCGACACAATAATCCAAGCAACGTACTCACAAACTGCGCCTTGTCGACCTTGCGCGCCTTGTTGATGAGATCCGCCGTATCGGCGCGGTACCCTTTCTGCGCTTGTCGACTGGCAGCGCCGCCGCAGCCCCAAATCTAATGCGGTACGATCGGATTTCTGGTCATGATCCACATCGGTCGTCTACCTCGAGCGTCTGGATCTGGAACGACGACCGGAGCGAGAGCGAGCCGGGCGCAAACGTATTGCATTTGAGTGCCGTGTAGCAGTCGTCGAGGTCCTCGTCAAAGAAGAGGCGGCACTTGCTGGTCGTGCCACCGAGGCCGAGACCCCGGGGCAGCGCGACGCCTTTCGTGTTGAAGTACATGAAATTGGTGCCGCCAGCGCTCGGACACACGAGCAAGTTGGGGCAAAGCCGGTAGAGAAAGCACCCGGGGCCTCCAAAAAACTTGCTCTGGTCCTTCCACGGCGTGTCGCAGTACGCGCCAAACGTCGCTAGTCCACTCTTAGTATATTCATCACAATGGACAGATTGTCTCTTGTACCGCCGTCCATGGCCGTGCACACAATCAGCGTCGGCCCTGCATACCCGAGAAGATGGTAGCACAAGCGGTTAAAGCTCAGCCCGTCCTAGATTGCCTTTTGTAAATATCAATCTATCAAGCCACACGATGCATATACCTGCGTGCTGGTGTAGAGACGGTCCCACGTGTCTTGGAGCTGCATCGACTGACCCGAGAGCGCAATGAGCTCGCCACTACGTAGCAAAAGAGAGTTCTTACAACCAAAAGGTGCAAGAAAAGACGAATTGTACCGGGAGAGAATGTCGGATCGGTGCGACAGTCGGGGCGCCATGTACGACGCGCGCGTTGACGGAAGCGAGGCAAAGCACTTGTGGGCCATCCACGCGCCGAAGACCGTGTGCAGGAGTGGCCATGACGCGCTCGCCCACGACACAAAGTGCGGCAGCGAGATCGCGTTGGCATGGAGGTGGAAGGAGGCGACCATGGCATCGGCCGCGCCAACGTAAGCCGCCACGTCGAGCGCGTCGTCGCTTGTCGCGTCGGCCATGAGCAGCACTGCGAGCTACCACCGACGCATCAGTGGATGGATTCGGGACGCCGACGTTGTACAAAGAGCTGGCGCAACTCGGACTCGGACAGCGTTCCAGTCGTCGATGCGTCAAAGATGGACCAGAGACTGCGGAGGATCGATGCCGACGACGACCGCATGCACAGCGCAGCTAGAGTAGATCAATGCAGCCTATCGTACGCAGGAGGAGGAGGTATACCGGCTTTGGCCACGTGCGCCAGCGTAACCTCGTCGGTCGATGGGCCGTCAACGTCGGGCAGCGTCAAGAACGCATCGTAGAGCGCGCCGCCAAAGCGCGCGAGGATAGGCATGTCGTCGGGCATAGCGCCGAGGCCAAAGAGCGTCTGCGCGCGTCATGAGAGTGGTCAGCGGCGAAAGGCCATGGTACCTCGAAGGCTGCCCGGTCGGCGATCGCGGCCGTCGCGAGGGCGTCGAGGCAGTCAAACTCCTAGCATTCGCGACGGTCATTAGGAGGCGCGGGATGCGGCCGAGGCGCCGGTACCGCGTCGCTGAAGGGGCCCTTGAGCGTCTCGATCTCGGCGGCCGAGTACTTGGGCGCGCTGGTCTTGTTGCCCATTTTCGTCGGAATGCCGAATCCACCCGTTTAAGTGCGATAGGTAGTACACTATCTGGGTGCCAAATGGTAGATGAATAGTGTATGAAGAGCCGCTTGCCAGGAAGACAGTCAAGCGCTCAATGCACCTCGTCGGTTCTTGTCGATCCACGTTGGCATGTAGGTTGACCGCGGCCGTTGGCGTCCCGACGCGCTGTGAGAGCTACGTACTGAGGTCGCAACGGCGGTGGACCACGGAATAGAAAGGCAAGGCAAACACTTTTATACTATCAACTTGATACAACTATCAAAATCAACGCCGCTTAGGGCGCACGGCACAACAACGCTGCGGCGGCCACGTCGCGCTTCTTGCGGAGATCGAGCGTCGACGGCCCGTCTTCGGTGTTGCGCAAGTACTCGGTCGCCTGCCGCTCGTAGAGCTCGAGGTACCCGCGGATGCGCTCGCCGAATTGCACCGCGATCACCACGACACCGGCGTCGTTGCCGTCGTGATGGATCGTGCGCGTCTTCTTTCGCACCGCCGTCAACGACGACTCGTTGTCTTCGAGCGTGACGAGCTCCATGAGCGGGATCGAGACCGTCCAGAGCGTCTTGGTCTTGAACATGATCGTCGTCATGAAGTGAATCTCGACCGTGTGCGTGAGTGGCTCAATGTCGTGCAGCGTCGCATACTGGTTGAAAAGATGCGTGACGTTGCCCGTGACAGGGTTGAGCTGAATCCGGTCGCGGTTCTCGTCGTTGATGCGGAGTTCGCACCACATATCGTACGGAGAACCAAACATCTTTGGGTTCGGCAACCCAGACGTCTTGAGGACTGCGATCGTGAGGTCGACCTTGGCGTGGTCGGGCGTCTTGAAGCCGCCGTACGCTTGGCGGATGATCTCGAGCCGGCGGACGACCTGAGGCGCCGTCGGCCGACGTTCGGCGTCGTACCGGATGCACTCCAACGCGAGCTCCTTGTACTCTTCGGACGGACATGCGTAGTCGACGTCGAACGACTGCGTCAGCATCGGGATCGCCGTCTCGCGCTTCGCAAGCTTAGCCGCGACAAGGTTGTCGTCGATGGAGGTCGGCCGCCCAGAGGTCTTCAACACGTACGTGAACGGGAGGTCACGGGTGACGAGCGAGATGAGGATGAGACCGAGGCCGAAGATGTCGATCTTGTCCGTGTACGTCGTGGCGCTGTCGCTGCTGTCCGGCTCGCCGTTCTCACCGCCTTGAGGCTTTGGCAGTGTCTCGGGGGCGCCCCATCGAGCTTCCGAGACGCCAGAGGTGAGGTACGTCTCGTACGCCTGGACCTGGCGCATCTTGAGGCCGGCGAAGACCTTGACGTTGCCTTTTGCATCCACGTAGACGCGGGACCACGAGAGATCGCGGTGCATGACGGCGAGGTTGTGGATGTGCGTCAACGCTTTTGCGATTTGGACTGCAATGTGCAGCTTCTCAGACCACGTCGCGTCTTGCTTGTCCATGAGGTACGCGCTGAGGGTCATGCCCGTGACGTACTCGACGTACGCGATCGGGTCGTCCGAGTCGAGGTTGCTGGCACCGATGAGCCGGAGGAGCGTGCCGTCGCCGCCGTTGAGCCTACGAGACATTGAGTCGCTGCAAAGAAGCTAGTCGAAGAGCCTACGCTTGCATGATGGCTAGGGTCTTCTTGAAGCGCAGGACGACTTCTTGGTTGCCTTTGAAGCTCTCCTCGAGCTGGATGCGCAGCACGAGCGTGCCGTCTGGGAGCCGGCCAGGCTTGAGCGACGCGAACGGGAAGTCGCGCTTGTCGAAGCCGAGAGGACCCGTGATGTACTCGAAGGTGGCGTCGTCGACTTCCATGACCGAGTTGAGTCGCTGCTGCATAAGGTGCAGTGCGCGCTCTTCGGCGAGGCGCTGCACGTCAGCGCTGGCAGCTGCCGCTTCGTCCAAGCACCGGGCTTTTGTGACTTGGGCAGCGTAGAGCTCGAGCTCGGTCTCGTGCAGGCGTGTGAGCGCTTCGACCTCGGCGGCCCGGTCGCGCTTCTCCTTCTCGAGCTCGGCCTTTTTTTCCTTCAGCTCGCGCTCGAGCTTATGGATGTATGCTTCGTTCGCGTCGACGACCGGCTTGGGCTCGTGCTTGGGCTCGGGCTCGAGCGCGACTGCGGGCTCGGGCGCGGCTGCGGGCTGTACGGGGTTCTCCACGTGGGGCTTGCTCAGGTCGGCTCCCATGCTGGCAAAAGGCAAAGTGATGTGAGCACTCGCAACGTTTGTTGACCACTTTTCCGGTATCTGTGTGGGCAGTGGTGGGAAAGTGAAAAATTTCGCTGCTCCGGAGGTGATCGGTTTTGAATGGGATTGTTGGCTGCCGCTTTGAACCTGTGCAGTCCCAAATGTATATACAAACGATCATACATTGATTGTACCGGTACACTGTACACGGTCGTGCGGCAGCGTACTGTACGAGTCATGAAACATGCGTCGTTCCAGCGCTCTACAATCAACTTGCCGGTACACCCTTCCTCCCATGAAGCCAGGATCGTCCAAGTGTAAACGCACGCTCCTATCAGTTCGACTGGTGAGGATCCCAGCATCCAGGGCTGCGTTGTTGAGGCGAGACTGCTACAGTAACAAGTGTCTATTGCGGAGACTGCGGGCTGCAGCTGATCTACCCGGTTGCCGGCCAGGAAACCGAAGTAGTATCGTGCAACCAATGCAGTGAGTAGTATTTCTTAGTCGGCTCGTAGGGTCGCATTGGAAATGTGGCCCCGTCGCGATCAGCACATTGCTGAGAAAGTGCTGAACTGATTCAAGTTGGCTTGACAATCGCGCACAACGGGGCTGCATTGCGGGTCTGGCGACAGTGGACGACAAGGAACTACCCTGGCAGTGGAGAAGCAGCCCACCGAGCTCCACCTCGGAGCTCCTGGTTCTTCTGCCGTCCATAATGTACTACCTGCCAAGCGTGGCAAGGCAGCAAGACATGGCCGCATGCTATGTTGTGGCGGTGCTTTTACCGTTTGATAGAAATAATATTTCTATCAAACCGTAAAAGCACATCAAAAGCACATAATTGCCGACATGATAAAAAGTGTACAGCTCATCATATGAACTACTACGTAGTACTACGTAGTACACTTTTTATCAAGTCGGCAATGATGTGCATGGGCGTTTTGTATCAAGTTGATGTGCCTTTTACCTCTAAAATCGAGAACGTCAGTATCAATTTGCAGAGAATTCCAGGAGACTGTCTTCGCCGTATCAAATGGAACTATCACATCATGTATCACCTTTTAGATCTGGTACGCACTTTGGGTGAACCGAATGCACCCTAGTTGAGCGAATCGCATCAACGCATTTTCACTCGAGCAATCCACCGATCACGTTAAGCTGTACGATGGTCATCGAGTACATGGGCGGGGGCGATCTGTCCGAGACACTCGGCAAGACAAGGGCCGGCGACAACGAGGCCCTTCGTGTCTCGATCATCGATGTTGCTTCCGTAATTGTTCACACGCTGGCGGATCTGCACCGCCTCGAAAAGGTGCATCGGGACGTCACGAGCCTCAACATCTTTCTCTCGAACACGTACAACATTCGTCTCGCCGATCTCGGCACAACACGGAGAGAGTCCGAAAGCTTGACGACGTCCAACGCAGGCGCGCCGCTCTATACCGCACCAGAGGTCGTTCGCATCGACGACGACGAAAGCGGACGCGCCTACGCCGGCCGACATTTCCTCGTGCCGCGTCGTCCTCACCGAGCTCGACACATGCGACGAATCGTACGCCAACGCCAAAAACAGAAGCGCGATCCAGAAGCAAGTGCACGACGGCCAACTGCGTCCAACTATGAGCCCCAACTGCGAGCCACGGCACAAGGCGCTCCCAAACCAGTGTCTGGAGGGCAACCCGGCCAAGCGCCCGTCGGCAGAGGACATCACTACTGACGTGCTCACGGCCCATCGCGACGGCAACGACTTCCGCGATCGATGAAGCGCACGGAACCGAGGTACGATTGTCGACGGGATGGGATGGAACGACAATGTGTAAGGCATGGACCGTTCACAATAATGTCCTCGATGAAATAGTGCACGACCCCATTTCAACATTGAATTGTAAAATGTTGTATTGTTTTTGGCTTTCACCTCCTGATACATTGATACAACCGCAAGGCTTTTCAGGTACTGTGGTGAAATTGTCGTCGCGTTCAGAGATGATCGATAGCCAAGCGACGCTGTGAGTCGCCAAAAGCAACCGCGTCGAGAGGAGACAGGTCGATGCGGTGGCCCAGAGAGCGAGAGAAAAGCCGACGTTGCGAGATACCCATTGTTTAACGATATATATATGAGACACATCCATAGTCACTCCATGTATTACCTCATGCATTGGCTACATGCTAATACCTTCTTCTGGCGGTGTACCACCAAGAAAGGCTCGGTCGGCAACACCAAGCGCGGCGCCAGAATTTCTTAATGGTAACCATGGACTTGTAGATTGGCTTGTGCAATTTGTAGTGTCAACGATGTTATGGGCACGAGGTCCTAGTGGTGGATCCTCTGCATCGCACTGCGCGGTCTGCCAGCGGTAAAGATGCTATTACGGAGAAGCGACACAGGGCTCTTCGTACGTTAAGTGCGATTGCTGGTTCTTGAGCTTGAGCTACATCATCAAGTGCGCTCGCTGGTTCTTCCCCTCCTCAACATGGTACAAGACACATGCATGTTCATGGAAGGTACTGTAATGTATTGTAATGTATTGAGTTCATAGAGCGCATGGGTCCAAGTCTAGAGGCGTCAAGTAGATATGTAGTGACTGTCCCAAACAGGTTTGGAGGTTTCGTCAATGGAAGTGGAGTTGCATAGTGAATATGTAGATGTGTAATCGATAGCGACCAATCCCGATGGGAGTTGGAAGCTTCGTTGATGCACGGAGGCGCATTGCGCTACCTCATAGTCATCGTTCCGTAGACATAGGCGTAGGCCCAGGGGCTGAGTATCAGACGCAACCGTTCCGTAAGGACTTGGTCATTTTTCGGTCGACGGGACCTTGCGGGTGACGTCGTTCTCACGACACGCGTCACGGTACCACGGCGTGTCGTTGATAGCCTTCGTGACATCGACTGTCACCGTCGTTCGCAGGGCGGCGACATCGACGACTCCATCGTAAAATTTGGCGTCCTTGGCGACGTTGTGGTGTGCGTCGTGAGTGATGGTGTCATGACTGTCGGTGTCGACGTCGTGACCGCAGTGGTCGAGTCGTGGCTGCCGACGTCGCATCGGCGTTTCATCGATGTCGCGGCTGTCGACGTACAAGCAGTCGGCGTCGCACCGGCATCGCGGCAGTTGACGTCGCAACAGCGTCGCATCGGTGTCGCGGCAGTCGGCGTCGCATCGGTGTCGCGGCAGTCGGCGTCGCATCGGTGTCGTAGCAGCCGGCTTCGACCTCTTGTATGCCATCGCGAAGAGACATCGTCGGCGTGTTGTATCTCGTTGGAAACGACGTCGTAGCTTGCCATGCAGTCACAGTCGCGGAAGCAGTCGAGCTTGGTGTTACCGTCGTGGAAGCAGTCGAGATCGGTGTCACCGTCGTGGGAGTGTGCCACGGGTTGCAGCAGTCGCTTGAAGATCAGTGGTACACAAACATCGTGTGCGGCGTCGTCTGGGCGTCCGGTGCTGGCTGCACCCGTGGGTAGCGCGGGCGCGTCGACTTCACAAGAGCTGTTGCAAGCGGTGTTGTTGCAAGCGTGTGCAAGCACATCGTCGACCGGCTTGGGAGCGTTTGCGTCGTCGCGTCCACGTTGGACACGACCATCACCGGGCATCGACTTCGACAACGCGGCGACTGGGCAGGAGCGTCGACGTCACGAGAAACGAACAGTCGCGGTTTGTGGTCGTTGTAAGCGAGGCTGGCGCGTCGACGTTGGACACGGCCACTTCAGGCATCGACTTCGACAGCTACCGTCCGTCGTTGTAGAACTGGAGACTTTGGTGTCGATGTCTGGCGTCACCGTAATCGATGATTTTGAGCGTCACGGCGTCGTCGCGGCATCGGCGTCGGCGTCGACTCACGTATGTCTCACAACCGGGCGTCGCCTTCGCCGGGCATCGTTGAGGCGTGACACGTCGTCGGCCGTTGCGAGCAGTGCTCGTAGTGGCAGTTGACAGCGTCGTAATCAACCGTTGCACCGACATGTCAGCTGCGGGAGCCGTCGTGATCGACAAATGCGCAGACACGTCAATGGCGAGTGTCATCGCGAGCGGCAATCGCATCGACGGAGAGTGCCGTTCTCGCCGGCGGCTGCACCGCCTGTCGGCGTCGACCGGTGGCCATCTCGATCGTGAGCGCCATCGTATCGACAAGTTGGCATTTGCCAGCGACCATCCTGATCATGAGCCGCGCCGTAGATGACCGTGGTATCGATTTGTCGACGTCGATCGTCGTTGCTGACGTTTGCCATGTTAATAAAGACCGTCGTCCACGGGGACTGTTGCACCGTCGTGTTGGTGTCGCGCGTCGATCGTCTCGACCATACATACCGTCGTTGTTGGTCGTGGCGGCACCGACGTGTCAACGGCGGCGCAACCGACGTCTGGCATGCCACTGTCAGGGCGCGTCGCAGTCGGTTGTCGATGAGACCATGTGCAGCTGGTGCACCGACGTAGTGACCTGGGAGTTGCCGCTGTTGGTGGTCGTCGTCGGCTTGAGCGCCGTCGCAGCATCAACACGTTGACTTCAAGAGGCGCCTCAACATATCTTGACTTGGCGACGACTAGAACCGAGTTGTACTGCAGTGTATCGCGTAGGTGTCATCGCGTGTTGGTCGTGCGTCACGTTGTCGCTCTTTCCCTGGTACCGGTGCGATTGCAGTCAGCAGTCGTTGCGTGTTGCCACGGTACTGGTTGCGGAGGAAACAACGTCTTGTACGGCATGCGCTTGGGCATAGCATCCGTGACCCACCGATGCTGAGTAGTTCCGTGTCTTCCCCTGGATCTGCACAGCCATCGTAGAAACGGGTCCATCGGGGTGTGCATGGTGGAAGGGACGCAATCATCGACGTCAAGCTCAGCTGCCGACGGCAGGACTCAAGGCCCCAGTTGCCGACGACCGAGAGGCCGTTGCCGACGTTCGAGAGGCAGTTGCCGGCAGCCGAGGTGCAGTTGTCGACGGTCAGCTGCAGTTGCAGATATTCAGCTGCCGTTGGCTGCAGATTGTCGACGTCCGACGGTAGTGCGTCGCCGGCACAAAGGCGACCAACGTCCGGAGGCGGTTGCAGACGTTGACGGGCAGTTGACTGCGGTTTGTCGACGGTCAACTGCGGTTGCAGACGTCGAGAGGCAGTTGGGTGCACGCGTGGCGACGTCCGACGGCAGTTACCGGCGCCATAAAGTAGGTGGACAATGCTCGGCTGCGGTTGCATGCATCCGACGGCAGTTGCAGACATCGAGAGGCGGTGGACTGCGGTTGCATGTGTCCGGCGCCAGTTGCCGGCTTCTGGAAGACAGGGGACGACGTATCACGGCAGTCGTTAACGTCCGACTGTAGTTGTCGACGTTCAGGCGCCGTTGCCGACGTCCGGCGCAGTTGCCGATGACCAGCATCCTTCCGGATGTGGTCCTGCTGTTATGTTTTTGGTCGTCAACTTGAAACATTGATACAATTCAACGGCAACGACCGTGTCGAGCAGCAAGCTTACAAGGCGGCCAGGGCAACGAGTGGAAAGTTCGCCGGTGTCAAGGATTTATATCCCTCAGCATTCACAGTGTAGCTGACATCGGCACAAGCGCAAACGCTGACCACGTCCGTCGTTCGTGCTTGCTCTAGAGCAAACCGCATCCCGTGCTCAACGCACTTGCACACTCGACGTGTTGAAGAGATCACTGCCTTCTAGTTGTACTACGCCATCAACGCATCTCAGGTACAGATGACGAAGCGATTTTGCGTCCGACAATCGATACCTTTGTTCCTTAGTGCGCAACAGTCGAGTACACGACCTTATTATCAAGTTGATACGAATCACAGCGATGCAAACTACATGACCTTATTATCAAGTTGATACGAATCACAGCGATGCAAACTACGGCGCGCCGCTGAGCAAGGCCTCGGCGGCCACATCGCGCTTCTTGCGGAGATCGAGCGTCGACGGTCCGTCTTCGTTGTTGCGCAAGTACTCGGTCGTCTGCCGCTCGTAAAGCTCGAGGTACCCGCGAAGGCGCGACCCGAACATTATCTTGAACTCACAGACACCGACGGGGTCGCCTTCGTGGACGATTGGGTACTTCTTCGTCCGCACCGCCGTCAAGCTTACTTCGTCGCCTTCCAGTTTGAGGAGCTCCATGAGCGGAATCGTAACCTTCCCGATCGTCTTGGTGCGAAGCACGGTCGATGTCTTGAAGAGAAGTACGAGCGTGTGCACGAGCGGCTCAATGCTGGCAAGCGTCGTCGACTGCGGGGCAAATTTGTGCGAAGCGCCGCCGTTGGCAACGGACGTCGTGACCGGCTTGCGGCTCGCTTCGTCGATGTTGATCTCGCACCACACGTCGTACGCAGTCCCGAAATGCGGTTCGTGGAGCGCGCCGGTGGTCTTGACGGGCGCGATCATGAGGTCGACCTTGTCGAGGTCGGGCGTGGTAAAGCCGCCGCCGCCGTACGCTTGGCGGATCATCTCGAGCCGGCGGACGACCTCGGGCGCCGTCGGCCGAAGTTCGGGGTCGAACTGGATGCACTCCAACGCGAGCTTCTTGTACTCTTCGGACGGACATGCGTAGTCATCGTCGAACGACTGCGTCAGCATCGGGATTGCCGTCTCGCGCTTCTTCAGCCAGGTAGTGACGAGGTCGTCATCGATGGGAGTCCGTCGCCCAGAGGTCTTTAACACGTAGCCGAACGGGACGTCGCGCGTCACGAGCGAGATCAAAATGAGACCGAGGCCGAAAATGTCGATCTTGTCCGTGTACGTCGTGGCGCTGTCGCTGTCCAGCTCGCCGTTCTCACCGCCTTGAGGCTCCGGCAGTGTCTCGGGTGCGCCCCACCGAGCTTCCGAGATACCAGAGGTGAAATGGCTGTTTTTCGTGGGCTCGACCTGGCGCACCTTGAGGCCAGTGAAGACCTTGACGTTGGCAGTCGCATCGACGAAAACGCGGGACCACGAGACGTCGCGGTGCATGACGGCGAGGTTGTGAATATGGACGATGGCCTTGCCGATTTGGACTGCAATCCACAGCTTCTCGGGCCACGTCGCGTCTTGCTTGTCCATGAGGTACGCCCTGAGGGTCATGCCCGTGACGTACTCGACGTACGCGATCGGGTCGTCCGAGTCGAGGTTGCTGGCGCCGATGAGGCGCAGGAGCGTGCCGTCGCCGCCGTTGAGCCTACGAGACATTGAGTCACTGCAAAGAAGCCAGTCGAAGAGCCTACACTTGCATGGTGGCTAGGGTCTTCTTGAAGCGCAGAAGAACGTCCTCGTCGCCTTTGAAGCTCTCCTCGAGCTGGATGCGCAGCACGAGCGTGCCGCCTGGGAGCCGGCCAGGCTTGAGCGACGCGAATGGGAAGTCTGCTGGCTTGAAGCCGAGAGGACCCGAGATGTACTCGAAGGTGGCGTCGTCGACTTCCATGACCGAGTTGAGTCGCTGCTGCATAAGTTGCATCGCGCGCTCGTCGGCAAGGCGTTGGGCGTTGGTGTCGACGGTCGCCGCCGCGTCACTCAAGCGCCGGGCGTCCTTGGCCTCTGAGGCGTAGAGCTCGAGCTCAGCCTGGTGCCGGCGCTTGAGCGCCTCGATCTCTTTGGTCCACTTGAGCGTCTCCTTGGCGAGCTTCGCCGTGGCCTGCTTCTCCTTGGCCTTGTACTTCTCCAGCTCACGCTCGAGCTGCTGGATGTACGCTTCGTACGGGTTGAGGATCGGCTTGGGCTCGGGCTCGGGCGCGACCGCTGGCTCCACGGGGTATTCCCCGAAGTCGGTGCTCAGGTCGGCTCCCATGCTGGCAAAAGGCAAAGTGATGTGAGCACTCGCAACGTTCGTTGACCACTTTTCCGGTATCTGTGTGGGCAGTGGTGGGAAAGTGAAATATTTCGCAGCTCCGGAGGTGATCGGTTTTGAATGGGATTGCTGGCTGCCGGTTTGTGTGATCCTGTGCAGTCCCAAATGTATATACAAACGATCATACATTGATTGTACCGGTACACTGTACACGGTCGCGCGGCAGCGCTCTACAATCAGCTTGGACACTTCCTCCCACAACGCCAGGATCGTCCTAGTGTAAACGCACGCTCCTATCAGTTCGACGGGTGAGGATCCCAGCTTTTAGAACTGTGTTGTTGAGGCGAGACTGCTACAGTAGCAAGTGCTTATTGCGGAGCCTGCTGCTGGTCTAGCCGGCCAGGAAACCGAATGCAAACCAATGCACTAGTATTCTCTAGTCGCTGCATACGTACATGGGAAATGTGGCGCCGTCGCGACCAGTACGACGCTGAGAAAGTGCTGAACTGATTCAAGTTGGCTTGACAATCGCGCGCAAAGCGGCGCTGCATTGCGGGTCTGGCGACAGTGGATCACCCTTGCAGTGGAGAAGCAGTCTTGATAAAAAGCAAACAGCTCAGCTTTCTACCAAACCATCAACACAATATCGAGCGAAAACACTCGCTTGATACAAGCACCGCAACAGCTCCGAGGTCAGTGGGTCGGCAATGATGTGCAGGGGCGTTTTGTATCAAGTTGATGTGCAAAAATTGAGTACGTCAGTATCAATTTGCAGAGGGAATTCCTCGAGACTGGATTTCGAACGTTCTTTTCATCATTTTATAAAATGGAAAACCACCTATCACATCCAGCATGACCTAAGATCTTAGTTGAGCGAGCGACTCGCACCAACGCATTTCCACTTTTGCGAGATGGGCGGGAACTTGAGCGTCCTCATCGTCGACACGCCGGTCGACGCCGAAACGGACCCCAGCGCGGACCACACGAGGCGCATTGCGGAGCTCGAGGCCGAGCTCAAGCACGAACGCGACGACAAAGCTCGCTTGATTCGCGACCACGAGGGAGAGCTCAAGCGGCTTCGCGACGACAAAGCTCGCTTGATTCACGACCACGAGGAAGAGCTCCAGCGGCTCCGCGACGTCATCACAGCAGACCATGCCAACCTCCGAGACGCGCGCGCGAAGCTTCTGACGCACCAGCGCCTCGGGTCGGTGCCGACAATCGAGCCGGGCTCGTTTACAAGCCTCGGGAAGGCCGGCGAGTGGCTGCATCCGTTCGCAGAGCTCACGCCGGGCCGGCTCCAGAACGGCACACTTGTGCTGCGCATCCAGCTCAAGCCGGCCTTTCAAAACGACGAAAAGGTCGTCTTGCGCTTCAAGCAAACCATGGCCATCATGCAAGCGTATGTCTCCCATGCAGTCGAGATCTCGTATGTACTCAAGCCCCATTGTTGTAGACTCCAAGGCGGCGACGGCTCGCTCCTGCGCATTGTCGGTGCCAGCCAACGATCGACCAACGACCCCATCGCGTACGTCGAGCACGTGACAGGCATGACGCTCAAGCACTACTTGACCACGAAGCGCGATGCGTCATGGCCCGAGAAGCTGCACATTGCAGTTCAAATCGCCACAGCGATTGCGCACATGCACAACCTCGCCGTGATGCACCGCGACCTCTCATGGCTGTGCGTCTACGTGGAGGCGACCGGTCGCGTCAAGGTCTTTCCCGGTCTTAAAATGCGCGACACCGAACCAAACGGAAAGCTGACGAACGGCGTGACCGAGGCGCGGTGGAGTGCTCCCGAGACACTTGCAACGACCAAGAGCAACGAGCAAGCTCCCGAGACACTTGCGACGACCAAGGGCAACGAGCAAGCTCCCGAGACACTTGCAACGACCAAGGGCAACGAGCAAGGCGCGTCGTACGACGACAAGATCGACATCTTTGGCCTAGGGCTGCTCCTCATTGCATTCGTCACCCACGACGGCCCCTTCATGCACATTCTAAGGCCCAACAACAACCAACCTATCGACGACGGATTGCTCTGCACCAGGCTTCAAGACCCTACGCAAGCCCAGACGCTTTTGACCAGCGACTTTGGGCCGTGTCCGTCCAACGAGTACCAAGCACTCGCGTTTGCTTGCATCCAGTTGGACCCGGACCGTCGGCCCACGGCACCCGAAGTCGTTCGCCGGCTCGAAGCGTTGCTGCAGACGTACGGTGGTCCGATGACCATGCCGACCTGCGGCGCGACTGTAAACCTTACGGTGGCCGTGCACAAAACGCTTGGCATGACTTTCGAGCCGACGTTTGGTTCTTCGTACGCTCTCGAGTGCTTGGTCAGTGTCGACGACGCCAGTCGCAAGCCCGTCAAGCTCGTGAGCCACGCGGAAGATGCCACGTCGCACGCCTTTGGCCAGGAGACGACGATCGCAAACATCGACCCGGTCGATTGGACGCTCCAACTTGTTTTCAAGACGCCAGGCTTCGAGCCTTTTGCAAGCCTTGGTGGCCGCCGCGTCGGGAAGGCCACGATGCCGCTCGTCGACTTCCTCGTCACCGAGAAAGGGCGTCTCAGTCTCTCGGCGCCCCGAAGCACGGTCTGCGACATTTACGGCTACGGCAACGACGGCGGCACGATCGGCAAAGTGGTCGTTCCGTTGCGTTCGGCGGCCAGCTCCGAGAACGCCTCGAGGACTACGAAGCGCGTATCGTCAAGGCCCGCGACGTTCCGGCGGAAAAGCACCGGAAGCGCAACTTGGTGGCGCAAGCGCTCTTGCGCGATGGGCCGTAGCGGACTCTATTATTGACTATAATATATGTGATCTGAATTGTTCGGTGCGATGCATGTGCTGCTTGGAGTCGCTGAAGCTTTCGAGGACTCTTGGATTCTTTTCGTCGTTGTTGGGGACACGTGGACATTGGCAGCGCACGTCCGAACCTGGTCTCATGACGGAACATCGGCAAATTGATGAAGTCGCGCAAGGCGTTGTATTTGAATACGGTTTGACGCTATGTGCGTCTCTGGTACCCGCCCAACTAGCTGCAGAAACACTTGTGTTCGCTATGCCGGGCGACCGCTACCAGGAGTACGCATTGCGAGCAACCATTGACGCGTACTCATTTTCGTTTTTCGTCGGTCAAGTCAAGAAATGCGCAGCGCCAAGTGGCGGACGAGCGCACACATGTCCCTAGATCGACGTCCAGCTCCTCTGCCCGTTGGATTGCTAGCAAGTCCGTTCGCGGCGAGACGTTGTCACCGATGCGTCCCTCTCTTCGTCATGGCCGAGCTCCGCACCATGTCCTAGCGACGACAAGACCATGCTTCGTGGCTACAAAATCACTCTTTGCATGCCATGCGTTCTCTCTAAGAGCTTCATGGCGTTCCTAGCTGTCTTGGTGCGGGTGCTTGTCGTGTTGGGCATGCTGAGGCGAAGGAGCAAGTGCCGAGTGCGGACACACGTGCTGCGTTGAGAAGGAGCGATGTTGCTTGGGTGCGTGCTCAGTGCGGGCCATGATTAGTCGAATGTCGAAATATACATCATGTGATGTTAGATGGGTGTGCTGAAGCTGCGATGGACTTGTGCCTGAGAGGATGAAAATGAAAATGACGCCGGGCTTCGCCAGCGCCACCGCCTCTGCGACGTCCCGGAGCTTGCTGCCCAAGGCGAACCCTGTCTACAAAGGCCCCCGCCGCGACTGCGTCAACGGAGTTTGGAGGCAGACAGCAAACCAATAGGTCGTCTCGTATGTATGTCTCTTGGCGACGAATCACTGGGCGTGAGCCGGCACACCGGTGGACGCTTGCACTCACGCGCCCATCCGCGCCATGTTCTAGTACCGGTACTGAGGAGGCTCATTTGCTGGTTCATCTGCTTCAGAACTCACCTGGGGATACAATATATATGGCTGCACCCGATTCGCACCCGGGATCCAACACCGAGACCTCTCGATGATGGCGCGACGAACGCTGGCAGCTTGGGAGGTAACATTGATCGACGCTGTTCGGGTCAACGCAGCGAGCGACGACAGCGACGCTTTCACGTCAGAGCCACCACGCGACACCAGTGTACGTGCTCTCGCGCTGGATAGTAGTAGTACTAGTACTGTACTAGTAGAGTGCTAGTATACGACAGCAACGCGGAGGAATGAATGAACTCACGTCACTCAAGGCCTCGCGTACATTGACTTCTCGTGCGATCGGCCACTTCTGAGAGCCAAGGCGGGCTAGGGTCCAACGCCACCATAGGTCCTCACGGTAAAAAAGACTTTGGTTCCTAAGCAGATGTACCGGCGCCGTTGGATCGAATTTTGAATTTACCTCTCAAATCACATAGTCGTCCACTTCAACAACAACCTCTCAAATCACACGTCTTTTTCACCATTTACCACGTGTACGTGGAAAAGCCTGCTGCCTGCGTTGAATGGGGGCCGAGCAAAGCAGCGCAGTACCCACGTCCAAGCCGGTCCTCGACCCGTACGAAGCGCGCATCCAGCAGCTCGAGCGCCAGCTGAAGGAGACCAAGGCCAAGCTCGGGAAGGAAAAGCACGAGCGGGCC